AAAGCACATAGAGATAGATAATTACCTCAAGGGTAGTTTCTAAAGAAATAAGTGCAGAAAAAAACAAATGAAGCAAACAAAGACACTCCCTTAGAAACAAGCTGGCATCTCTAGCTACTGTTATGAATTGGTTCTACAAATGAGGTTCAAAAGCACATTATGTGATTAGCTGCTAAATACAGGCTGAGAAATTAAAGGAGGAAAGAAAAGTGTTTTATTAGAACTACAGCAAGTGTTTCTCTGTTTTTTGATGAGCCACACAAAGAATCACTTTGTTCTTTATATGATGAAGACAGTGAGAGAAACATAATAGAAAATGCTAGTTCTTCACAATGATCCTTGGGCCCTCTGCATATTTTCTTTCATTTCCCTCCATAAAATTTGTGCTGAATGATCCGAGAGCCAATACAGAGAAGAATACCTTACTTTTGCCTACCCAACATGTTCAAAAGTTGTCAAAACACTTAGCAATCATGTCTTCAGTTTTAAATTTAAATAAAAGGATATCTGACACCCCCCCCATGTTTGGTGCAGTAGGAAACTTGGGCCCAAAGAGGGCATTGCTGGGGTCCCACAGATGGTTGGCAGAATGTGATTGAATCAAACCACCTGATTCCCAGAGAGGGGAAACTTTGCCAACGTCAGAATCAACAATAATTTGGAAGAAAAGGCTACCAGCAATGCTCACTTTGCCACTCTGCTTTTGAAATGCTTTAGAAAGAGTACAGTTCAATATGTGAGAAAAGTTCAGATCAAATGTAACCCCTGTCCCTTTACCTCTCAGTGCTAAGCTCAGAGAGTAGAACCAAATTTCCTACACTGTCAGTTTGTATTCTATAAAGGAGAATCTGTTGGAAGTGACTTAAATGGGGGATCTAATAACTGGCATTTTAGTCAGGATGATCACTGATGGTTGTCATTTATTCTGAGTCTGTTTCCTGTTGCTGTGACAGAATACCTGAGGCTAAGAAACTCTGAAAGAAAGGGAGGGCTAAGATCGTGGCAGTGGGAAGGGAGATTTTAAGCAAGAGAAGGAAAATATCAAATCCAGTTCAGGGAGCAAAGTTAGAGCAAGTTAATGAGAGAGTTTAATAAGCAGGTGCAACTAACTAGCCAAAGGAAATTTGGAAGAGTGCGGAGGGGCTTAGGAGAGGCAGAATCAGTAATAGAGGACAAAGAATCTAAAGCTGTCAATTGCTGCAGGTGAGGAAACAGAAAGAGTTAAGTCCCAACAAAAGAAACGGGAGCTGTGAAAAGACATTCACTTTCTCTGCTGCCATCTTGGGCCCCCTGTTCCCTGCTGTGCAGACAGATGGCACCTGGCTCCACATCTCTGGCTCTGATGTTTTTCATTAGATCAATTCCTCAAATAACATTCTTCTTCTTTTGTTTTTTTTTTTGTTTTTTTTTTTAGTTTTTTGCAACAGGGTCTCAGTATAGTTGAGACTGACCTGGAACTCACTGTGTAGCCCAGGCTGGTCTCAAACTCACAGCGATCCTCCTGCCTCAGCCTCCCAAGTGCTGGGATTACAGACTTGCGCCACTATGCCTGGCATAACATTGTTCTTTATTCTGTCCGGCTAAGCAACATCCTCATTACAGGATGCAAATCGAAAGAGCAAGAAGTGCACACCCCCATCCATCCCTCAGAGGTTGAAATTACCTTTGAATTAGAATTTAACTTTGGTCATCAATGGGAAAGTAAATTTGGAAGCCGGATTGCATTTTAGAAGGTTCTATTGAACAACCTCTTTTGAAAATTTTTAACATTTCCCTAAAAGCATTTCACTAATAATTGAAAGTACTCAGCTAACTTTTTGAAGTGTAACATATATATCAAACTTTATACACATTAATATACATCTTGAAGGATTTTTTTTCAGTGTTGAGAATGGAGCCTTCTCACTGAGTCACATCCCTTTTATTTTTTCTTTTGAGATAGGTCTGGCTAAATAACTAACTTGCCCAGGCTGGGCTCAAACTTGGCAATCCTCCTGCCTCAGCCTCTCTGAATCCTGGGATTGCAGGTGTGTGCCACCAAGGCCACATTGAAGGATTTTTGTAAACTGAATATACCCACGTATACAGCTTCTCAGGATGACCCCTATACAAGGCATTAGTTTTTTTGTTTTTGTTTTGCTTGCTTTGCTTTGTTTTGATTTTGAAACAGGGTCTTGCTATTAGTTCAGGCTGGCCTCCAACTCAAAGAAGTCCTCTTGCCTCAGCTCCTGACTGCAGAGAATACAGGGATGGACCATGACGCTTGGGAAAGCATTTGTTTTGTTTTGTTTTTTGTTTGTCTTTTGCACCGGGGATTGAACTCAGGACCTTGTGCTTTCAAGGCGGGTGAGAGAACCACTGAGCTAAATCCCGGCCCAGCATTCATTTTTAATAGCTCTGTGATAGTCAATCATAATTGGCTTCACCATTCACCATGTTGAGTAAATTTTGTTCTATAATAAATAATACTGCAAGTTTAAGTTTCCTTTTGTGTACCATGGCCTTCACCCTGCTTGTCTCGCTGGGCTAGTCTAAGGGTGGTCCTTTCAGTAGCATGTTTGTGATGTTCTTAGAGTTCTTTTGAGATTATTCCTAACTCTGGGAAACCCCTTTTGTCCAACTTGTCTCCTGTGAGCTCTTGAGTTTGTTAAGAGATCATGCCACACTGTTCTGGCTAAGAACACCACAGATTCACGTAGCCACTGTCCCTCAAGGCCCTTGCTGCTTGTAGAAAGGGGCTCTGTGTGCAAGGATCACATTTCTTTACCTGGATGTTAATCACTCACATTGACCTATAACTTTGTAGATGATCTGTAACTTGTGACTTAGTATTGTCTTTGTCGCTTTTAAAGATTAAAAGCTTACTTGCAATTTTACATTTTGAAAAGGCTAGTTTGGAACATATATCAATCTTAGATGCTTGTGTATGCTGTGTGTGTGTGTGTGTGTGTGTGTGTGTGTGTGTTGTGTGTGTACACTAGAGATTTAACCCAGGGCCTCACACGGTAAGCTATACCCCCAACTGCTGTATAATGCTTTTTGTGGTAGGACAGATATCATGGTCAGTAACCACACAGTTTTGAGTAACAGACTTTTGTTTTCATTTGACTAAGCAGATAGTGTTCTAGTAAATACTAGAATAAAATATAATTAGTAGGCCAAACAGTTTTTTCAATTCCCATCGCTTAGAAAGAGAGAAATCTTTTTTCCTTTTTTCTTTTATTTTATCTTAAACGCCCCCAGCCTCCTCCTATGTACAAAAGCTTTGTTTCCATTTTTTTTCTTCTATTTTCACTTTTTTTCTTGTTCCTTCTAGAAAGAGAGAAATCTTAAAAAGTACACAGACTAGTTTAGCTCAGTGGTGCCACTGCCTGCCTTGAAAGTATAAGGTCCGGAGTTCGATCCCCGATACAAAAAAAAAAAAAAAAAAAGTACGTGGACTTAAAGTTGAGTTAAAGAAAAACAGTAATTCCATAATAGCACAGCTGCCCTCAGATGTGGCAGTACCGTGAACTATTAGTCACAAGGCTTTGCTTCAGTATTACACAGCAGTGCTGATACCTTTCTCTTTAGGGTGACGTTTTATTTTATCATGATTTATTTATTAGTTTTATGGTGCTGGGGATCGAACCCAAGGCCTTGAACACACTAGGAAAGTGCTCTGCCACTGAGCTATGTCCCCAAGGAAGGACCAAAGGGAGTTCTTCAGAATATACCAAGGAAAAGAAAAGAGATCCACCTTCAGAGTTATGCTAGACAGACAGCATTTACATTCTGCTATTGGTCTCTTTCTATGTTACATGTTGAGTCAATTTCGTATTTAATGATTATTCAAGTACTTATCATGTCTTAGGTAGATTTTCACCTATACTTTGGGAATGATATCAACTTTTCTATCTTTAGACTAAATTTTCAAATTTCTAAGTTTAAGCCAAAATTTTCACACCTATGTGTAGGGATGTAACAAACCAATGTGATGATATAGTTAGTTTCGTGTTTGGTGTGGCTTAGATATGGTCTGCACAGCCCCTAGGTGCCCATGGATTGGAGGCCTGGTCCGTAGGGTGGTGATATTGGGGGTTCAGACGTAATGGAATCTTGAAGAGGTAGAGCCCAAGGAAGGGTCTGAAGTCAATTCAGGGTGTGTCCCCCAAAGAGATGAAGGCAGTTCTCATGTCCCTTGATCGTTCTACACAGCAGTCATTACAAAAGCTGGATCCTGGCCCCACCAACTCTCCAGCTTCCTGTTTGAGATGTGACCCATTGTCCCCACGAGCACTCTGCCTTGATGTGACATCATCCACCATGAGGCCTTTACCAGAAGGCAAGCCAATGGGCTACCCAATCTTGAACTTCAAACCTCAAGAACTGAGAGCAAAATAAACCTCCTTTTCTTCATAAGTTAGTCTGCCTCAGGTATTTCAAAATAGTGATGAAAAGCTGGCTAATGCTTATTATTAAATTTCATATTCCAGGATCAAATTGGCCAGTTGTACAATTTTTGGGTGTTCATGTATATACCATTTACCATATGGCTAACAGTACCTCCTGTTGTTTTTGTTTGTTTCTTTCTTTGGTACTGGGGATCGAACTTGGGTCCTTGTGCTTTCAAAGCAGGCTCTGGAACCACTGAGCTAAATCCACGGCCCGCTCCTGTTGTTTTTGTTTTGTTTTTGCCTTGCTAGGGATGGAACACAGAGCCTTGTTCATGCTAAGCAAATGCTCTACTGTTGAGGTATGTCCCCGTCACCTTGTATTCTTACGTATTGCTTTACTAAACTTTGCTTCCACATCTAGAGAAATAAACCTGAAGGGAAGAAGCCATGTGCTTTTGTTTTATATCTTCGGTAGCAGCAGAATAGCTTGTTAAAGTAGACAGATGATTTTTATAATAAGTCAACAAGTATACCCAATACTCAAAGACTTTTATTGTAGAAAATTGAAATACATACAGCATCAGTGCATTACCTCTCAATTTCTAAATTGTTTCATGAGTGGATAAGATGAAAGACAAGGAAAGATGTCAGTTAACTTTGCGCTTTCTCCTCACTAATAAAAAAAGCAAAATACAGTATACCATGGGAAGGACACTGTTACAGGAATTACACAGGGACCAGAGAGAAGAGAGGCTCCTGCCTTCCACGGCCAGCATTATGTAGGCAACAATAAGCTGGGTGGAGGCCCAGGTGAGACTTCTGTAGAGCAGCCTCATAGGCCAGGAGCTGATAGATAAGTTGGCAAAGGCATGAATCAGGTAGTCAGCTTCTACCATCACAGCCCAGCACAGGAAGCCAAACACCTGTCCTGGGTGGAGGCCATGCCACCAGGCCGAGAAGGCAAAGGTCTGCAGCAGTGGCCAGCCGCTGCTGCCCTGGAACACCAGCCGGCGAAGCCACCGGGCTGTGCTCCTGTTCCACTTTCTCGTGAACAGGGAGAGCCTGTGGGTTGTTTCCAGTGTCCAAATGTCCGCGTCAGGTACATATCCCTCCTCACCAGTGCTCTGATCAAACTCAGACCCAAAGCCGGCTGCGTGGAGGAGCCAGTCATCCAGGATCCACTGGGAGTAGTAGGTGAGTTTGAAGAGCCCAGCCGTGGACCACAGGACATAGACACACTCCAGTTTCTGGCAGTCAGTCAGTCCTGTTCCTGCACTCACCACGCTGCTCAAGGCCACCTTTAAGCACTCCAGTCCAAGAACCAGCAGGCCCCTCCAGGTCAGAGCCCAGAAGGAGCAACCACACAAGGAGCTGGACCCTTGAACATGAGCCTGAAATCTCTGGAAGGAACACAGAGGGCCTCCCAGCAGAGCAGGGAAAAAGAGCAAGTAGCTGAAATAGGGCAGAGCCTTACACAGACACTCAGACAAAGAGCTCCTGCTCCCGATGCTTCCTGTTGTTGCTTCCACTTTCCCTTCACAGATGTCCAGAGAGAGGGATGTGACCCTCTGGGTCAAGAGCATGAGAGAAGAAAGAGTAATGCAGAACCTGAAAGAGATTTTTTTTCTTAATATGAAAGCATTCTATATTTATTGTCTCTCCCACTCCAGTCTACCATACACGACTCAAAGCAAATCATGCCCTGCAGAGACTCTTGGATTAGTTCAGATCCAGTCACTCTGTCAGACAGGATTGAAAGGTAAATGGAGCCAGACATGGGGGTGCCTATCTTTAAGGGGTGAGACAGGAAGATTGCACATTCAAGCCTAGCATGGGATATTAAGTGATTTGGCAAGACTCTGTCTCAAAACAACAACAGCAACAGTAATGATAATTACTATTATTATAAAGGGCTAGGACTCGGTGTGAAAGTCCTACTTTCAATTCCCACTGCCACAAAAGAAAGAAGAAAAGAAAAGGTAAATGGTGAATTTATTGTAGGGAAATATTCATTGTAATATTTTTAAGAATGGAGGGCCGGGGATTTAGCTCAGTGGTTCTGCCACCTGCCTTGCAAATGCAAGGTCCTGAGTTCAGAGTTCAAAAAAAACAAGCAAAAAAAAAAAAAAAAAAAAAAAAAAAAGAATGACTTATAAAGATTATGATTAGAAGCCTGAGAGAAATTTGCTGCAGAAATAAAACAATAACGTAATCATGGAGAGACTACCAGAAGTTGAAGAGTTCTAACTGGAAACCAGACCCTGACTGCAAGGTCTGGGACTTGAGCTGAGGAGTGGAGTGGGCACGTGGTGAGTTCATAGCAGTTTGAGTTCCATTCCTCATCAGTCACCTGAACTCTTACTGTTTCATGCTGATGAGACAACTGTGGAGAACAATCAGTGAAAACTACAGGGATACATTCTCTAATCAGAAATGCTGTCCTAGGCAAAGAAAACAGTGCTACCTTCCAGCCATGGCTATGTGCCTGTGTCTGAAGATTTAAGGGAAACTGACTCCCTCACTTGATTTATCCTAACTGAAAGTAAAGTAGCCTTCAGATGTCCCCAACCCCTCCTAATTCACCTGTTGTGGGCTGAATGTGTCTTCCTCAAATTCATATACTGTGGTCCTAACTCCTAGGGCCTCAGGTTATGGCTGCATTTGGAGAGAGGCCTTTAAAAAGGTGATTAAGGGCTAGGGATTCAGCTCAGTGGTACTGTGCCTGCCTTGCAAGTGCAAGGTCCTGAGTTCGATCCCTGATAACCAAAGAAAAGGTGATTAAATGAGGTCAGAGAGGTGGCCCTAATTCAACATGACTGCTGCCCCTCTAAGAAGAGAGTAGGACACAGATATATATACAGAGGGAAGACATGGAGAAGCCACCGTCTACAAGCCAAGGAGAGAGGCTTCAGAAGAAACCAGTCCTGACAACAGCTTCACCTTGGACTTCTAGCTCCTGAATTGTGAAGAAATCAAATCTGTCACTTAAGTTACCCAGTCTCTGGAGCTTTGTTATGGTAACTCCAGGAGACTAGCATGCTCCTTCTCACTTCAGGGCTGGATCAGCCTTCCTCCCCACCAGCCAGATCCTGCTCAACTCGCCCTTGCAGCCCGTATCGGGTCCTGGCTTCCACACCGTCTTTCATTTCCCAGTCCTATCCACCTGCTGTCTTGCGTTTCTTTCTCTTCCCTCAGAGAAGCAAGCCTGAAGACAGCAACAATGATTTCCAAAAAAGTGCAACAAACAGGATTCTGGGTGTGGTAGGGATGTAAAGGAAAAGAGAGGGGACCAGTGGCAGGTTAGAAACCAGTGACCTACTTGGAGTGGCCACAGGTTACCGTCGGAGTGACACAGACCGTGCACCCAATGACCAGAGAGAGCCAGGAACACGAGAACTTGAGAGCACGAGGGATTTGTTTCCCTGGTAATGACCATCTCACTCACACAGGAAGATACTTCTTCAGACTCTCATTAGCTCTTATTTGTTTGCTGTTTTTTATTTGTTTTTGTTTTTGTTTTTGTTTTTCTGAATGGGTGCCTGCCCTTCTTGGGGCGATGAGATGAATGAATGAAGATAAAGTTATACAGCAGCTGTGACCATGGGAAGGCAGCACAGTTCACAGTGGATTTATACAGCATTTGTTGGTTGCGTGTATGAACTGAGGTGAGTACACAGTGCTGTTACTTCTAGGCAGGCCTTGTCTGTGGGCTCTGGACTTCTACTACCCATTCCCTCTTTTCTTTCCTATTTATTTTTTATCTTTTGAGATGGGGTCTAGCCATGTTGCCCAGGATGGCCTTGAACCTGGGCCCAAGTGACTCCTGGATCAGCCTCCTCAGTAGCAGGGACTACATGCACACACTCCTATGCCTGCCTGCAAGATGGGTATTGTTATCCCCATATTTTTTCCCCCAAAAAGCAGATCAGGTCTGAAAGATACTAAATAACTTGCTCATGACCACACTCTTCAAACGTAGAAGAATGAGGATTCAAACCCAACACTTAAATTCTTCCTTACTACACCAGCAAATACCTGGGCAACTCAAAGGAGCAGGGTGCTTTACCTCAGGGAAGGAGGCTCTTGCAAATAGTATTCAGTGTAGTGCAGACCCAGGTGACACAGGGTCTGCCAGCTCATCTGAAAGAAGAAAGTCCACTTATGGACCTCCTGAGGTTCAAGCAAGGAGACCAAAAGCACGGCACAGATCACAGGGATGAAAACAAGCACAGCATAGACGCCCATGGCAGCCAAGGCCAGCACACCTCCTCCAGCCAGGAGAAACAGGTACCTGGAAGAAAACAGACCTGGTGACTCTTGGAACAGTGCGGCAAACTAACCACCTCAGAACTCAATCCAGGCAAACTGATCGAGCAGGGCCCACATAACATGCAGAGAAGCCATGCTGCTATGACACTAAGGCCTTCCTCTTGTTCTTCCAAAGAAAAGAAAGCCTGAGAAAGAGCCAGGATCAGTCTTTAAACTGTCATCTCAGGCGACTGACCCTGACTCCCACCTTGGTGACACTAGGAAACTCCCTCATGGGTGCCCACCCTTCAAGTGGTTTCCTGCAAAGGTGTCTGCAACGGTTCCTAGCAGCTCACTGGAAGGGACATTGTTAAATCTCCTGTGCGCTGTTTGACTGAGAAGGTATGTGAATGCAGTGTGGAGGATGGAGCGGAGCTCTCTAACCTCCTCCTTTCAACGTGAATCCTTCCCACAGGGTTTAACCCTCTCTTGAAGCACTTCCGAGAGCCCAAGCCAGAAAGGAGACTAAATGCCTCCCTTGCTTGGATAAATGTTTGAAAACTCAACAAGAAAAATTTTATGTCTACCCTTTACCCTCATTACTGCAGTTTAGACCTTATATGTGTATTTTTGTATGTGTTTATTTGTGTGTGTGTGTGCATATGTATATATATATA